GCCTGTAGACAACCAAGTCTTATCCATTCATTTTGTTGCCTGTAGACAACCAAGTCTTATCCATTCTTTTTGTTTCCTGTAGATAACCAGGTCTTATCAATTCATTTTGTCGCCTGCAGACAACCTAGTCTTATATATCTATTTCGTTTCCTGTAGACAACCAAGTCTTATCCATTCATTTTGTTGCCTGTAGACAACCAAGTCTTATCCATTAATTTTGTCTTCTGTTGACAACCAAGTCTTATCCATTCATTTTGCCACCTGTAGATAACCAGGTCTTATCAATTCATTTTATCGCCTGTAGACAACCTAGTCTTATCCATTCATTTCGTTGCCTGTAGACAACCAAGTCTTATCCATTCTTTTTGTTTCCTGTAGATAACCAGGTCTTATTCATTCATTTTGTCGCCTGTAGACAACCAAGTCTTATCTATTCATTTTGTCGCCTGTAGACAACCTAGTCTTATCCATTCATTTTGTCGCCTGTAGACAACTAAGTCTTATTCATTCATTTCGTCGCCTGTAGATAACAAGTCTTATCCATTCATTTTGTTGTCTGTAGACAACCAAGTCTTATCCATACATTTTGTTGCCTGTAGACAACCTAGTCTTATCCATTAATTTTGTCTCCTGTAGACAACCAAGTCTTATCCATTCATTTTGTTGTCTGTAGACAACCAAGTCTTATCCATTCATTTTGTCACTTATAAACAACCTAGTCTTATTTTTCTACTTTGACTTTTATGGACAGTAGTTTAAACAATTCATGTTTAGCATGTATTAGTTTTATTAATTCCTCTTTAATATGTAATAATTTTATCAGTTTATGTATATCATGTGTTAGTTTTATCAATTCATGTATAGGATTTATAAATTTTATCAATTCATGTTTAGCACCTGCCATCACCGATGTGAATGCCATGATTTTCAAACCGTCTTTACTAAGTTTTCATCGAATCCTGTTGTAAACTATCGGTGATTGAATATGAGCTCACTAGTATAAAAACCTAATGTTTGATAGATATATATTACTCTCTCTTCTATTTTTTTTGCCTTCGGTTTTAAGGGTTATTTTTGAAAATGAATAAATACACCAGGTTTGTATTACCTTCTATTGGATTCTGACGTTGTTCGCTTACATTCGACCTTTCGTTATTCAGGTACTGGTTTTGACAGCAGGAGCACGTGACACGAGAACGTTGGATCTTCAGTCTTCGGATTCGAAGCAGCAAGTTTTCCCTCATGTCAGCTGTAGCGTTTCTCACATTTGCTCGTGCGCGCGAGAAAGAATAGAACATCATGCATTTCGTGGTTCACGACAAAAGTCCAAGCGTCCTATAGATGATATACAGAAACAAAGAAATTTCAGCAAATGTTCGAGGTGACAAGATCAATTATTTTCTTTGTCGTCAGGGTTTCATACACTGACAAGATACCGAGAAAATCATTGTGTATGACACAGTGGCCATACATTTATTTCTGTCTTACCAACTGTTTCATATTAGCGAAGTTTATTTAAGTCGTCATCATAGCGGAAATACGAAGGAGGAACAAGTTTAGGGTCTTTTAAGTTTTGGTATTTGTTTGTTGTCCCCTAATTCTGAAGTAATAGGCTAGAGGAAAGGCACCTAGTCTATACCACCCACCTCCAACTCTTGGGGTACTCTTGTCAGATCGAATAGTTGGATTTGACCGTCACTCTTTATAACACACCCACGGCCCAAAAGTGCGGAGCTCGATTTTTGTTTGGAGGGGGGGGGGGGGTCGGTGACGGGATGCGTACCACGGATTCTTAGATCCACATTCAGGAACACTAACCACTTGGCCGTGCTCGGCCCGTGTTTTTAGTGGAATGGTTTTAAATAGCATTAATAGTCTGCTTTGTGACGGCACTATTTGATTGAATCGATAACGGTGAATTCCTATAAAATCTTTAAACTTCTTTCAAAAGAAACGTTGTGCTCTTATTACAATAAACATAAAATCACATTTTATTCAAGTTAACTTAAGGTTGATAAAACGTTTTTACTTATTTTTTCACGTGGAACGCACGCGCTAGAAGATAAACTTAGAAATTGATTCAGAATTGGCTAAACACAGAATTCATTAAGATCATAAAACACTCATGAAATACAAATAAAAAAGCCATTAATGTTAATTTAACGTGTTTTTTAGCTCGTTTTTGTAATTGTAATAAGTGGAAAGTTTCTATGTTTAAAGAAACAGAACAGTTATAGGAGACATCATTGTTACGTTAAGCTGGCATCAGTTTTGGTTAGTTTGATAGATTCGAATACCCGAGTGCCACTTTTTAAAACATAACTTGTGTGTTTTGTGACCTTAACAAACAGTTGTTTAAATAATTCAGGTTGTCGATTTATCTTTATACCGTTGGATCTACACATATTAATATCAGTAATTTATCTGTTACAAACCTCTGTGGGGTACACCTTTTTGTATCAGTATCAGTTATTTTATATTTTTATCTGTTACAGCCCTTTGTGGAGTCCACTATATTAAACCAATACAAGTAGTGTTATGCTTTGATTTGTTACAACCCTCAGTGGAACCCACCATATTGCATTAATATGAGTAAATTTATGTTTTGATGTGTTATGCTACAACCCTCAGTGCTAAGAACGAATCAAAAACCCGCTGTTCAGTGGATTCGTTGGTTGTTTGTTTTTAACGAAAAGCTAAATAGTGGGCCATCTGCGCTTTGTCCATTGTGGGGAGAATCGAACCCCAAATTTTTTAATTGTGAGTACGTAGAATTATTGCTTACCCACAATGGGACTCGTACTGTGGACGTTTTGAAAATACAAAGCGAAATTTTTTTGTTATTTTATAACATAGTTTTACACAGTCATAACTGCTGTTCCAAGAAAACTCCCACCAGGGAATATTCGGCTAGTACTATAAAAACAAGGTATCTTTTGTTACGTATTAGAATTTCAAATAGCCCGAAATTGAGTAAACTGATGAATTCAAATCTAGTAGTTAAATTGTACTTTGGATTTAGTAGTTAAATTAAAGCCGATATATAGTCAGTTTATGATATTTGCCAACAAGATTGATACATAGTTTTATTTTTATAACACAAATACGTTTTAATATACACACAACAATACAATTTACAATAACAGTTATTACAAATAATTATTACAAACAATGATTTATAAACAAAAGTTTCACCAACTTACAAGCAATATAAAGTCTTCTTTCTAGTTTGGAACTTCCTTGATATCTTATCGAGAGTTCACAAGCGAGTTAATTACGAGTTGACGTAGGTACAATTCGCTTAACGGGAAGCTAGCTAGCCCTGTAGTCTTCACTGTTCATACCCCTATTACAGATTGAGTTTCCACCGATGACGTTAGGTAATGTTTTCGTAAAAGTATTAATGTCCAATGTGAATTCACTGAAGTTAAATGGTTTGTAATGTTTGAAATTTATAAATGTTCCTGGTCAACTATCTGAAGTTTCCCAATTAATAATCATTATAACAATCACAGTTATAGCTTCCAAAAGGTATAGCAAACCAATAATAGATACTGTTTTATGGCTTGTCTCATTGGTTATACTTATAGGCATGTGGAGAGTTTCTTGCAATTTCAGCTTACGCAACAATACAAATGCTACACTAGCGTTTACGTACACACACATATTGTTGATTCTTACACTCAAGAATCTCCTACAACTTTAGAAAATAGGCGGGAATTTAGATTTAACAGTATAAGTTATGTACATTTCTAAATATCAGTTAAACTTAAACAAATACCGATATTAAAATAGATATAAGATAGTAAATTTGTCACACACTTTTATAGTTGTTTTTTCTTTTCCAACAACTACTATAGTGTAAATATTCTTCTCAGAAATGATAACGCAGGCCTGCAATTTTAAACTTCATAAAAGTTGTTTTGGTCTTAATAACGGATTTTCCATAATTCAGTACACAGATTTTGAAAGTAATGTACATTTTTTTCAATCATGTAATGATTTTTTACAAATTGGGAAAGAAACAACAACTCTTACTTAGATCAAATTATTATTTTGTTTACCACAGTGAACATTTTTTATTATTATGTTTGTTAACAAAAATAGAAACAAACTGAATAAAATGGAAGAACATTGATGTCAAACGAATATGCATTCTCCTTCATCCTAATTTTTTAAATGAAATCTACGTTTTTTTTAGTCTCAAAACGATGTGTTGTGATCTTTCTTTTATGTATTGCATTATGATGTTTTCTGCAAAATCAATACGTGATGGAGAAAAATGGATTTTGGGTTCAGCGAACAGGAATTACTGTAGAACATGTAAAAATTTCAAGACACTAAAATAATTTCAGGCCTGTGTAATGAGTCTTAAAATGTTTGTTTTATTAGAAATGAACACCAAAATGACCATGTTGGACGGGAACTATTAAACTTTCACAATGCTTGGGAAGTTTGTTTTAGTTTTGGAAATTGTAAGTTTTGATAGATACTACTGTAGACCTGTTTTAGTACTTATTGTACGTGTATATTATTTGTTCCTTAACACTAAGTAATTTCATGCATTTTAAATGTCAGCATTTACATTTTTTTCTTGTATTGCTACCATAGTTCGGTATAAAACTTGCACAGTCAATGAGATTCCTGATAGTAAAAGATGTACGAACAGTATGTTTCTAATTTTATTTGTTTAGGTTCATGTGTAATAAACTGTTGTACTACAAGTATAGTAGGCTAATGTTGTTTATTTGTCATGTATTTATATTTAATATTATCATGTGCTTTCCCCCTCTCTCAGTGGTACCCTGAAGTAAGTCACCACTGTCCAAACACTCCTATTATTCTAGTGGGCACGAAGCTAGACCTGCGAGAAGATAAGGAGACCATTGATAAACTAAAAGATCGTAAACTGGCACCAATCACCTACCCTCAAGGTCTGGCCATGGCAAAAGAAATTGGAGCAGTGAAATATCTTGAATGTTCGGCTCTTACGCAGAAAGGATTGAAAAATGTGTTTGACGAGGCCATCCGAGCTGTACTCTGTCCACAACCCAAGCCAAAGAAAAAGAAGCCATGCTCACTTCTTTAATGATCAAAAAAAAGTATTACAGGTTGTTTAGTTTTTATCAATGTACCTTTACGTTTGCCAAGTTGCATGGGTTACTCCAAAAACTTTCTCCTTCGTGATATTTTTACTGACAGAATTTTTACACATTTGGATAAAAAAAATGCATGTTTCAACCATGGTTTGGATATAATATACAGTTCCTGCTTTGATGGTTCTTTCTTCTTTTTTTTAACCAACTGTTAATATGACTACACAGTTAATGCGAGAACTGTAACTGACTTTAGGGCTTTCATTAACACACAATTAGATTCTAAGACTTCTTTCAAGACATAGCTTGAATACTGTGCCTGAGGTGTTACGAAAACTTGTAAAGCTGTTAGTTATTTTTATTATAGTGAAAGTCTGTTGTGTATCTCACAATAAAACTTGTGCTAAACTAGACATTAGCAAAAGATCAACATTACACTGTATTATAAAAATATTGATTTTTTTGAAAAGTGTTTCCTATTTCATAACAATTGTTAACCTTGAACTGCTTAGAATAGTATTATAACAGTGCCTTGCTTAGTTTTGTTGTATAATTATTTGACTTGTTAATGCCAGAAAGTTTTGAACTTTCGTTATAGGTTAAAAGTGAATTTAAAAATTGTATAGAATAATTATAATTTTATAAAAATATATAAAATAACCTTTTTTAATAACGTGAAAAAATTAAGTGGACACAGTTTATTGAAGATAGAAACATTATTGTATGTTATGTAAGGAAATTAGGATAGAAAACTGTAAAGCTGTCATTTTGCAAGAATTTAATCACTGTTGATTTACAAAAGTGGAATTACAAAAAAAATTGATAGAATTAACAGAGCGAGTACATAAACAAGACCATGAGGACACTAAAAAACAGAGTTTGATAACTTACGTGTTCTGTAACCTTGACCATTACTTGAAGTTTGGACGGACTGTAAGAAGCAATGTTTGATAATTTACATGTTCTGTAACCTTGATCACTACTTGAAGTTTGGACACACTGTAAGAAGCAATGTTTGATAATTTACATGTTCTGTAACCTTGACCACTACTTGAAGTTTGGACGGACTGTAAGAAGCAATGTTTGATAATTTACATGTTCTGTAATCTTGACCATTACTTGAAGTTTGGACAGACTGTAAGAAGCAGTTTGATAATTTGCATGTTCTGTAACCTTGACCACTACTTGAAGTTTGGACAGACTGTAAGAAGTAATGTTTGATAATTTACATGTTCTGTAACCTTGATCACTACTTGAAGTTTGGACAGACTGTAAGAAGTAATGTTTGATAATTTACATGTTCTGTAACCTTGACCACTACTTGAAGTTTGGACAGATTGTAAGAAGTAGTGATATTAACCAGTGGATTTGAAGTTTGGGAGAAAATGTAAAAATAAATTCTTGAAGGCAGCTAAGGTGGCTATATATACAAAAAGTAGCTAAGCCAGTTATCAATAGAGATTTTTGAGAGAAGTGGGTAGTTTATTACCATGCGTGCTTAATGATAGAAAAGTGCTCAATTTAGTTTTATTTTTATTTCAATATCATTCATTTGCTGTGATTATACATGTATTTGTCCTTATTATAAAATGTAGTAACACAATTGTTTTGGTAAACCAGTTAAATAATTAACTGACCGAAGACATTTTTTGGTAACTAGAGAAAAGAACTGACCTATAGAGAGTTATACATGTAGTATTATGTTGATTATGGGAGCTGCAGCCCATTAGTGGGGCTAAAACAAACAAGCAAGAAATAGTAGGTAAATACACAATACTGTGTAAAAGAATCTAACAAAGTTTAAATCCACAATAATGGAACAATACCAAATTTATAAATGTACTAGTTTTGAACCGTTTCACATTTCCTCTTTGGTCCAATGTTTGTTTGCAAGAGAACCAGGTTCACTGTGTTTCTCCCCACTGACAGTTGTTAGACTGAAGAGGACATGTGAAAGTGTCAAAATTTGTCCACACACACATATATATTTGGTATTGTTCTGTTATTTTGAATTTAAACTTTATTTAAGCAAGAAAATGTTTCATTGTTAAAATCCAATAATGTGCATGCTGTATTATTGAAACGAGTCAGATAATAAACTAGTGTCACACGGTACTCTGAAAGATATGAACTATGATCTGTAGCCAATAATCACAAAAGCATGACCTTGGATTTTATTGCTGAACTTTGTTAAACAAATACATAACAAAATGTACGACTTTGGCAGGTCCTGTTGTGAAATTAATACTGCTGTTCTGATTGAACTTATTAGCAGTATTTGTATAGAGTGAATGATGATTATGTATATTTCCAGCTTACTTACAGTATATTTGGTCTTAAACTATTTAACCACTTAACTACAGTGGTAGTGGTTATTAAGGGAAGTTATACAGTTGATCTCTGCAGATGTTGTTTATACTTGTATTAATAAATATTTTCACCACTTACATGTGTTTATATTGTTTTCTCAAAGTGTAGATGTTGAACTTTCATAAGTTTTGGTTTTTCCCCCCTATTTGGAGCCTATTCATGGATCAATTATGTTATAATTTTTTAAGATGCTTTTCAGAAGAAGGCAGTTTTTTTATAGTTATTTTTTTATGAAATTCGGCATTTGTGTTTTTTGTATCACTCGTGTCTATACATATATATATATATATATATTAACCTGCAGGAGAAACCATTAATTGGGAAGAATGTAGGATAAGTTTCATTATCTTTTTATGCCAGACAGTTAAAAAATGAACATATTTTGATAGTTTGAAATGAATATCAGTACATGCATACATTATTGTAACCGTTGTATTAAAAGAAAAAAAAACATGCATTGTAGCTAAAATAAAAGTAGCTGTTGTGTGCATCTCAGAAACATTGAATGTGGAAGGATTGCAAAAGAACAACAAAAAAGTATATTTTAATCAAACATTCAAGATAGAGCAAGCTGCAGCTACCTCTTCCGTAGCATCATGTTTTACCCCATGGTCACTATACTTAAATTGCATAATTTCTTATTTTGTTGCTCGTTAAATCATGGTTTATAGTGTTTACATATCTTTTATTTTAAGTGTTCCTTACTAAAATTGTTTTTTGGTGTACAGACTTTTTCATAGCTTGTCAGGCTAGCTCCTAGTTCAGCTAAACGTTTTTATTTTGTGGTCAGTTAAAGAATATCTGTGTACTTTTGCTTTGTCAAGATTTATGTCAAGTCCTCTTCTAGTAACAGACTAGATATGAAGATTTGTTAGTTAAATTCTATTAAAATAAGAAAGATAACTGCAACTTTGAATCCAAAACTATGTTTTATTGATACCTCTCAGAACTTAAGAGTATTTTAGAAGAAACCAGAAATAATTTCAACGTTTTTTTTCTGTACTATGGTCTTTATTAGTTTCAATTATAAGGGCCAAACTGGAGACAGACATTGAAAATATCTTTTCAATATAATTGATTTTTCATGAAACCTTAATTTAAAATTTTATTTGATGGTTGCTAGCCAGTAAATTCAGTACTGTAACAATGTATTAATTGTAAAAGTAGTTGCATAAGTAAAGTGTCTTTATATAGGTATTTTGTGTTTAGCTTTGGTATAAAGTTTGTTGTTTATCCAGTTTAGTTTTTTGCTCTGCATATAAAAGATTTATAAATAAAGTGAAAAGTTAAAACTTGTGTCATTATTTTACAGTTGCTCTCATTTTTCAGGTGGGAACAAACCAACCAAAAAGATTGCAAGTAAATAACTTTTGGTCATTTTTCAAAGTTTTTCTTAAATATTAAAGTAAAAATTTTATTTGTAGCTGCTTGTAAGTGTATCATTATATTCTTTTAAAGCTATAGGTGACAAACACAACCCATTTACTGTCACATAATTTTACAAAGATAAAATAATGTAGAAATGTATATTCAAAGTGTGAAAAGAAAGTCTTTTGGTTTAGCCATACAAAATTCACTTGTATGTAAGACATGAAAATGCATTTTGTCTGGCTATATACTATAAAGGAATGTGAGAAGTATAAAAATATAAACCAGGATATAACCATGCACACCATAAAGGAATACAAAGGCCAAAAATAGTGTTAGCAATGAGGGTACCCAACTGATGACCTGGGGCAGAGTGACCACAGAAGCTTTTTATAGTTTGCCTATTATTCATATTCAAGATTATTTTTTTTATTGATTGTAATTATTGTTGAAGAATTTTAGCAGTTCTTCTGATGGTTACACAGACACTGTAAGTGCTCACAATATTCTCAAACAAATCTACATGACATTCTCCTGCTGCAGCTTAACTTTTTACATCTCATACTAATGCGATCAAATAGTCAATAGCTACAGTAAATCATCATGAACCATATCAGCTATGTTTAGCATCATTACAATGTATAAAGTTAGCTACCATATTAAGTAAACCATCACCCATAGTTGGGCCTAAAAAAAGACAACAAACACGTATATAAAAAATTGGGAATTCAAAAACCTACAAATAGGGATGATAAACAAAAAAAGTAAACAAACAAGGCTGGAGATACTGTAGACATTATTTACTCAAACTACAAATCACTATTTTGACTCCTCCAAATGTAATTCTAGGTAACAGTAGGAGTCAAAATGGGGATTTGTAGCTTTAGTATATAATGTTTACAGTATCTCTACAAATCACTATTTTGACTCCACCAAATATAATTCTAGGTAACAGTAGGAGTCAAAATGGGAATTTGTAGCTTTAGTAACTAATGTTTACAGTATCTCCAGCCTTATTTGTTTACTTTTTTTAGTATCCTTATTTGCAGGTTTTTAAATTCCCAATTTTTTATTTATATTTTGAAAATAATAAGCCAGTAAATTATTGGTGAATCTTTTTTTGGTCTTTTTCTAAGGATGCATTTCAGTTTATATAATTTATACAATGGAACAGTTGCGAGACCACAATTTTGCCCAGTTTAGCAATAATGCAGGTTGTTCCTGTGCTAGATCTTTGTATTTCAGATCGGGCAAGCCAGGTTTGAATCTGTGCAATACCACAAAATATTTCTAGTACTTTAAGCTGTAGGTGCATTATAAGACTAAGTCATTCCCTTAGCATGGATGCTGGTTGCCTTCCCTTTGGTTGGTCAGTTACGCGGAATTTAAAAGTGTGACAAATAGTTTTAGTAGCTTTGCCATAAATAAATAAAGTAAAAAATTGTTAGAATATGGAGTTTAAAAATATAAGGTCTTTTTTTTTCACTAATGTATTGAAGATGCCTAAGAAAATGTTAATATATTATGTTAATAAGAGGCCAAGTACTTTTTTTTACTTAAAGAACTTGATATCAATAAGTTTACGGGAAGGAGTAGTTTCCAAGTTAATTATAAATATTAGCATATGAGTTTCTTAACAAAGATAAAATTGTAAAACAGTTAACATGTGTTTCAAATATTACAATTTACAAGCAAACAAGAAATACAACTTATCATCATATCACTTGCGTTAAATTTTGGATCCATATCACAGCCTTTCTAGCACTGGGATTTAATAAAACACACACACTATCGGCCCCTAATATTTGTAATGTTATTATTCAGTTTACTTGCCCTTGATTTTATAGAATTGCAAATATGCAGGTATTAAATGTACTAGAAACATGTTTTATCTTATGTGACGTAATCGCTCAATTAAAATTATTTTACTAAGATTAACGCTGAACGTAAGTCTTCATATTGTTGCGTCACCGATGTCACGTGACTAATGTCACGCCACCTGCTTTCTAGAACTATTCCGTTCCTTCGGGAGTGCTGTAGCATTTACTAGATTGGGGGGTGGTCTGGTATATATAAGATGGTCACGGCGTGACGTGACAATGTGTGTGTAGGTATTGAGTAATTGATCTGCAGTGAGAAAGTATTGTTGAAGTTAACGTTCGTTATAGCG